TGTCCCTGAAATATCTGATATCCATTCACATCAGAGTCATTGAATTTCATCAAAGTATTAAGTTGCATTTTTTTTTAATTTTTGTTCTTCTTCCGAGAAATAATCGTAATGAAATTAAAGAATAAAGTTTCAGAACTTCTTAAGAAATTACCATTTTTCGCAAACAGAAATCGTACATGCATAATGCCCCTCATTTTTGAACACCCAAGAATGATATAATAATTATACCCAAATCCTAACAAAGTTGTATTTATTCAGGTTTCTGTAGTTAAGTCCTGTTTATAAATCTGTTTAGTACATAAATCTTCAGGAGGCTCGATAGCCAATGGAGTAAGATGCGTGCCTCATAAGCCAAAGGTCCCGGGTTCAATCCGTACTCGACCTAAATTTTTTTCTTTTGTCGATGGGATGTCCCTGGGATATCCTTGAGACGTCCTAGGGATATCCTTTCTTCGTACTTGGTACATCCCAGGGACGTACCAAAAGTACATCCCAGGGACGTACCAAAAGTACATCCCTAGGATGCCTCTTTTTGTGGAAAGCGGATGTCCCTGGGACTTCCCTAATATGTACCATGTCCCGACACAGGATATCCCAGGGACGTCCTCGTAGAAAATAAAGGACGTCCCTGGGACGTACTCGTGTTGTTAGGGCACATAATTACCCTACTTGGGGTGAGGATACTTTATATCACCCCTACACTCGCTTGAGTGTGAGTCAGGATTTCCCAAAATATTTGGGTATCAAATGCTTCAATAAAATAACTTTTATAGAGATCAATAAAAGTAGAACTGTGATGAGAAACGAACTATATGGCTTCTTGTTGGATAACTGTTTCTACAGTATGCATGATTTTCCTACTTTCAGTGCTTAGTTTCTTTTATAAATGTAGTTTTTTCAACACTATAACGTGTCAGTTGCTATATAAAAAATATCACATGGAGCTAGGAATTTATTACAACAAAGCGAGAAGGGTACCATCCTCATTCATAATTATGTGAAAAAAAAATTCCTTGAGAATTTTAAAAAATGAACAAAAAATAAAAATACTTACTGAGTCCGGCAGATTTGCGGACGTGATTTCAGCCAGTATGCCTTTTGGAGGGTATCATATTTTGATGTTAAAAAACGATGATTGAAATCAAGTCCGAAAATCAGTTACTACCTGCCGGTCTAATAGTAATAAGTTCACAGGAATCTAGATAACCTCTACATCAATGTTGAAAATATGAATTTGATATTTCAGAACTGTTAAAATAGATCCCTCATTATTCGTTTTTTGATAAGAGTTCATCGAAAATAATATGACTTTGTTTTTGGATGCATTATCCGCCCCAGAAAAATCGGCATAGACAATTCTGGACCACCCTGTATAATTGAGAATTACTAGCAAGGACTCCTTCAATTCATTACGAAACCGTTCTTGAGACCTCCATTTCTGCATCTCATCTTGAATTATTTTCCTTGAAAGGCAAAGCAATCACGAATGTCTCACTCTTGATTGACCATTCCAATCAGCTATTCATCGAGATCCCCACACTTCTCATTGAAATAGCTTCTTACCACCAATATGGGAGATATGGATATTCCATATTCTGCCAATGAAAACAAAAAAAAAAAGAAATGTAAAATCTAGAGGGTCCGGATAAGTTTAAATCCCCCTAACTTGGGAACCATCCACCTGGACGTAATCTCTTCCTTTGTGAGAGTTCGGACACGCTTCACTCTCTGCAATGATTGCTGAACACGATATTTTTATTGTTGTGGCTAATAGTCTTCCTAAAGGATCAAGATAAACGATTTAATGTTTGATAAATAGGTGAGCCATTAGATGTGTATATATATGAGTCATTAGGAACAAGAATTCGATGGGAAGGGTTCAATCACGTAGGTACATTTCAGAATTAATTTCTTTACATTTTTTGGGACATCTTCTTCATGTTTCTATATAGTCAATAACTTGTTTGCAAAAAAATGTTGAGAATATTTTTATAGGTGTATTGAATCTGATGAGCGCTTCGGGAACGAATCAACTTCCGTTTTGAATCTGTTTCCGTTTTCAACATGAATACTGAAAATAGTTCATAATATTCGTAAATACCCATTTGCGAAAGCACCCAATCACTCTCAAATGATTATATAGATATCAATATGCAGTTTCCACTATCAAGTTTTGTCACAGTTAAAAGAATAAGGAATTTGTTGAGTGTCTTCAAGCAGTACCTGACTGACATCATCAGGTGTCATCTATCTCTCATTTGAAAATAGGACCTCAGTTAACCACGATAAGAAAGAACACAAATGCGTGAATTAAAATTAAATGTGCATTAACCTGATATACAGTTGCAGTAACCATAACACAACATGATTGCTTTTGGAGATATATTCGACGTCCAATGGATGGATGGTTCCAATTCATGTCGTTGTTACGTTGTCATTAGATCATCACCAATATGAAATCCATAGGCAGCAGTGTGATATGATGATCGAATACCTAATGATTTCAAAAGATGCTTGGCAGCAACTGTCTCATACGAATTTGGAGTTCAAGTATTACATAAGCTAGAATGACCAAAGAGGGAATATAAAAGTGGCAGACTCAACTTCTGAGCACAGGTGAATTTTCACTTTTTATGATGTATTTTCTGTTCAATAAAGTATGAATTAGTCTGGTTGTTCTTTTTTATTTATATTCAGAGAAGTATAATAGTTATCTCTCAATTATATAAGAGAGACGTAAATGTTATTTAGATTCTAACGTCACATTGACGTCTCATTGATGTAAAAATGATATAAATATTATTACATAGGAGTGATGTAACATATGTTGTAACGTGATGCGGACATTATGCACAGTTGACTCATGAATTTTGAACCTACTCATTACCTCTTTTTTTACGTAACTGATCAACGAAATTATGTAATTTTAATGTGTTAGTTACGTAAATTTGTCTTCTGGGATCGATATTCGATATATCGATATTTTTGCACAGCCCTAATGAATACCTCAGCCTGAATGAGGGCGAGGTAGTAGCAGCAGTATTCTTCGATTTTTCAAAAGCATTTGATTGATTAGAGGGATTGCTTTCAAATGGTCTGAATCATACCTTCTTGAGAGGAACCAAACTGTTAAAATTTCAACTGAAACTTATAGGTTCTCACATGCCAAATCAGGAGTTCCTCAAGGATCAGTACTTGGACCAGTTCAATTTGTATTGTACCTAAATGCTCTAACAATCCTACCAATCATGGGAAAATTCACACTATTTGCAGACGATACTACCCTCCATTGGCATGGAAAAAATGGAGAAACTCTGGAAACAGTTGTAGCCCAGGAACTCGACGAAGTCAAAGCTTGGTGCGATTAAAATTCTCTATGCTTCAATGTGGAGAGAACAAATATTATTACCTTCAAATTTGGGTTTGAAAATCTTACTTTGGGTACACACCAAGTGGAACAGACCAAGTACTAAATTGCTGGGTATACATATTGACAGAAAGTTAGGAATTCTGTCTTTACTCTACAGAAGAAGGCAATTCGCTATTTATGTAGGGCTAAAGCAAGGGACCATTGTAGACCACTTCTCATCAGTCATCATATACTCACTCTCACCTGCCTTGTTATTTTGGAAACAGTAAGTTTGATCCTCACCAGACATCATGCATCTGAACAAAAACCCTGTGAATAATATTTTGTCGACTAGAAACAACTATCACCTGTCACTGCCAATAGCAAAGATGACTGGAAGCAAAACAATTTACTATCACTTGCCTCAACAGTTTAAATCAATTGGTTGTAATTGAAAAAATCGGAAAAGAGATTCAAAAATTCCTCATGCTAAAAGCCTACTATGACCTGCAGGAATATTACAATGAAACGTTTCAAAGTCTTCTATAATGTATTTCAAAACTTTTTTCACTATGATGTTAGGTATGGTCTCTTGTGAATTTTTTGTATTTGTTTTATACCCTTGTATTTGTACTATTTAATTATCTATATCTTATATTTATATCTTTTATATCTCCGACTTAATAATTGGAGGAATAGTGGATCTCTCCACTTGATAATTGGACATAGTGGATCTCTCCACTTGTTAGTTTCTCGCGTTGTCAATAGGATGAATGATTTTTGGACAATACAGCTCTGTAATAAAATTAAAGTACCTGAATTGCTATTTTTATAGAGGGATATAGAAATAAAAAAAATTATCCTGATAAAATTGGTTTTATTGCCTGTAAAATATGTTCCTACTTCCAAAATCACAGTATCATTAAAAATAATATCTATTCAAGTTTTCAATCATGCAAAACTCACTCATCCTCATTCAAATCACTTGACATTCATTCAACAATAATTCATACTTTTAATTTAATATTTAAATATCACGAGCGTGTTTTTACCTGTATATTCCTTTGAAGTTTTCAATTACTCACCCAGGTGAAGATGTCTAGCATTGTTAGAGGCTACGGAAAAAGAAAAAAAAGCCATGTTAGCAAATATAGTTACTGAAATTTTATTCAGTGCCAAAAACTAACGTAATTGATAAAATGTATCCTACCTAACCCAGGTTAGCTCATAATATATTAATAGTAATCATTTTTCAACTCTCCTAAACACGAAGATTTTCAAAATATGAGCCTGAGCTAAATAATACCATAGTGAATCAAAAGGAACTGGTGCTAATCTTTCAGTTTGATTATAAAGCAAACGCTATTTCAATCTACTGAGCTGCTGAACATATACACTTTCAACTTGAACAGATGGTATGTACATGCCTAACTCTTACCCTTCGAAATCTATAGAACGTGTATGAATGGTTTTAGAAAATGACTTCCATTTCAATATTTGTATCAGTTCCTTTTGCCCAGGATAGTGTAGATATAAATTTTCAATTTGTCTAAATATTTGGTCATCAATGTACAGTTTCTTCATGTTTCGCACTCTCCGTAAACTTTTCTGTGAATACGTTGACAGAAAAATAGTTGAGCATTTCAGAAGAAGGTTATTAGCATCTCTTGAATTTTCCAGAACAAAACATGCTGTGTATTCAAGTTCATTTTGAATCCCCCTTCAACTCTTTTGATGGAAAAGCTATACAAAAAACGTAGAATAGAAGAATTGTAGGGTTAAATCTAAAATGTCTTTGAAAAAATAAACAGTTGCTGTCAAAGGTCACATGATATTGAAATGAACATGATTTTTCCAATAGGAATGCCCTATATTTTTCAATATTTTCATAGAGATCATCTTTCTGAATTCGATTACCTAGATTGATTTACCTGTAACCCTTTTTGACATACGTGACCTTGAATAATGCGTTAATATACTATGGCTACTATGATGATGTAGAACATATTTTTATTACCATATAAAATTAATAACAACATAATAACAATAACGGTTTTTGAAACAACAAAGTTTTGAAATAATGGTATTTGAGTATTTTCGATGAACAATAAGTTCAATAAGTATCAAAGCTAGACCTCACAACAATATATAGATTCAAAGAAAACTATAAGGAAATGTGTACATAATGTTCCATTTACAAAAATGATTTTTGTATCTTAAATCACATGTGAGCTATGGTGGCAACTGGTTCTCAAGTATTATTGAAAGAATACACAAACATTGGCTTCGGTATGTCCATGGGCAGACAGAGGAGGAATATATTACCAAATAAACAAATAATTCATTGCTACAATCATTGAGCATAAAATTCGAACTAGTCTTTTGGCCATATCTCCATAATTGACACCTCAATTAATTCTGGTTTTGTTGATTTCTTTTCAATTCCCACCTGAATATCAGTACACAGAGAAATCCGAATTTCGAAAATGTGAGAGATGCCCATAACTTTTTTCTGAGATGTCAAACATTTTTCTTGTCAAACAAAAAAGTTATTGCGGATCAGAAGTAACGTGAAGGTCCTGTATAGGGTGACTGTTCTATCATTGTAAAACAAGTTCTATTTTGAATAAAACAAAGAATATGCCACTGTATACAAACAGAATATCTGGAGACAATGGCTTGATTTTTTTTTCATTTACTAAATGGCCATAAGAGTTTTTATAAATTAACGTTGAAACCAAGAAATATCGATATTTGAAAAATTACTCTCGAAAGCAGATCACAATGATAAAACAATTCTTGCCTGGTACTTATAATATCACCTAACAAAAATCAAACTATACATACCTAGTGAACTCTAAACCTCAAGCTACACTGTCCTATGCTTTTTCCTGTCTACACTAGTAAATCAAAACTGCCTTCTTCCTATATATTTTATCATCCTATTTTCAGACCTGAATGAAGTTTGCACCTGATTAAAATTGTCATTCACTTATACTGACTCCTTGCTGAAAACTAAAAAAAATTACCTACCTACCTACCTACCAACCTAGTAGCCTAAAGCATTTCCACTGAATGAAAATACTATAACCTAAGTCGTCTCATTTTGATGATAAACATTGTGTCCCAGTTTCAGAAGATCCCATTCAATTGTCCACACAAATTGCTCATCCAGAAATAAAAAAGATCGACATAACAACTCTTCTTTTAGAGGATGTTTGGATATTGAGGTCAATGATGACCAAGGCAAGATTGAATAATCTGAAATAATCCCTTTTCAAATCCCGCAGTTCTTGCAGTGTCATTCCAAGATGGTCACATCTTGACTCCTGTATGTAAATTATACAGTAGTTTTAGTAGTTTTTGATTAATATTAAAACTGTTGTTTTCATAGGTACCTACTTTTAATCTTATTCACTGAAGAATGTACCTCATTCAGTATGTCATCACTACGTAGGGATATAATAGTGATATAAAAAAATTGCTATCAAGTTTCGTTGAAACTTATTTTCTAGTACTTTGATCCCTTGACTTGCAGACACCTTGTATAAATATGAATGTTGACACAGGGATGGTCAACGTTTATTTAAAATTATGTTGGCTAGTTTTACCGATCAAGAATAGACAGTTAAGGGATGATCACTACCGACCAAACAAAATTTGTTACCTACTGACAGGTTTTGCCAATAATTAGATTAATTTTCTACATCACTTCAAGATTATTCAAAACCCTCCTCGAAAATGAAATGTTCCAGAAGCACAAATTACATGGAATCTCTGGTAAAGGTTACTACGTTAATATGATACCACTTGACATCAATCAAGATTCCTCTAGATTTCTGTTTTTGATTATTAATTTGCGCAAACCTACCTCAAGCTGTCTGTTTTTTACTGCTGACTTTTTCACTTCTCTAACCTAGAGATATGCAATTCTTTTGGTACTCACTATCCTATCGACAAAAAACACTGAAATGTGATACATATCTTTAATAAATTATTCTAAATACAAATTACAATCATTATCTAAAATTAACGTGAAGTCAAAAACTAAGTCAAAATATGTAATCAATTAATACAAGGAATGAATGTTAACCCTTCCTTACGTTGATATCGATATAATCCACTATAAACGTGTGATAACCTATACTATATTGTTTCACAACACTTATTTCCCAAAAATGACGACCTGCTTTGATTTTGCACTAAACATATTATAATCTTGGTGAAAATTTGCGGGATTCATTTAATCTGATAAAAAACATTCAATGCCCATGGGGCTAGGTACACTTGGCACTGCTGGGATTTTTTAGAAGCAGCGTAACAGTGCACTTACGTTTTAGAACCTCCTCGGGCCCCCCTGATTGCCGCCATTTTGATAACCGCCGCCGCCACCGTAGCCTCCAGAATCTACAACAAAACGCGGAACGTAACACAAGGCCAAAGATCTAATATTATTAAACTACTAGGTGCGCCCTTGTCTCACTGTCTAGTACAAAGCATTGAAAGTAACATGAAAGAGAGACGACTATCGATATGGCTGCATGTGATGTGTAACAAAGACAGATGAAGCTTCACCCAACCATCGTTTGGTAGGCGGCTCCCTTGCTCGCTCTTGTTAGTCGAACTATTTATTTGGTTCTCAACACCTCTTTTTAGGTGCAAGTAAATTAGATTTGAAATTTCAGGGTGTTATATCAATTGATAATGGGCAATTTTTTATATTTTTTCAATAGAATAATCATTATCAATATTGTAACTGTAATTTTCAAACGGCTATAAATGTACCGCAAATAAAAATGACGTCACGATTTCGTATGTAGGGACAGACCATGGCACAGTTGCCATTTATGTAGGAATACAAAGTATTATTTATTTAATAATTCATTCATTCATGAATTCTTAATAATGTATTAGTAGTATCGTTAATATTAGCTATAAAAAATTGTCTCAAACTTGTTCCTCTTACATGTTGTGTCTCATTGTGTATGCTGAATTTGTGTTAATAATAATAATTATATTAATTCACACTGACAAGACATTGGGTCCGGTAAACGTAACAACACAGGACTTTGGCGTTGTCTTGTCATAACTCAGCATTCAGCACAGTATTGCCAAGTCTCTATAGTCAATATTTACATGATGTTTTGTTATGGAGTATAAGAAATATTTTGACAAGCTGGTTGCTCAAAAAAGTCATAAATTAATAGCTACAATATCATGGCTACCTCCTTCTAGTTCAAATGAAATATTTAAATTGGATGTAGTTTTATTCCATGATAGGGCTCTAACAACTTTTCAATAACTTGATTATAATTGGAGATCTAACAACATTTCTTTAAGAAGTGGAAATGGAAATTTACCAGACCAATAATGAAACAGAATGAGAACATGGCCAATTGGCGTTCATGACAGTACCATTGAAATGAGCTTTGAGACTCAAACATTTCAAACAACGCAGACATATTATTTACATAAAAAATGCGTAAAAAGTGCTGCAAACATTAATTTAGGTCCCTATCGACACAGTGGAGTAGTTGAATGCCAATTATTTACTACCAGTCCAGTAGCCCACCACGAGAACAGTTTCATTATTCAGAATTGGAGAGGTGAAATCAGGTTTTTATCAACATTTTCCCTAATGAGGTGTAACATTATTTATTGTCCACCAAACCGTGCCACCGAAATATGAGGCCAGGGTTGGTAGAACTGATAAAAGTCTTATTTTTGTGTCATTGGCCTTTTGCTATGATATCTTCATCTCCGTCAATGTAAGAAGTACATTGAGAGTAAAAAACTGGCAATTTTAGCCCCCATTGATTGGAAATTTTAATACTGAATTTTTAGTTCACATAGCACGGCGCCGTAAAATGTCTTCCCAACTTTATCCAACCGTTACGCCATGTTCGTTCCTTCGTCTCACTTTCATGTTGTTTTCAATCCCTCCCTCTGTCTCTTTCTCCATCTCTAGACACCATCTGGTAGTTTAGTATTATCAGATCCTCGAACAAGGTCAATGCATGATATCCACAGATCGACCGATTACCGTCGAACATAATCTTGACCCATTTGGAACAAACCGTTACAAACGCCTAACTAGGGAGGAGGTAATGAGGGTAATCACTCCCCGCCAGAACGGAATATTCTGTAGAAATGTCCAAGGATAATTAAGATTTTCAAATTTGAAAAGTTCCTAACCAATTGATCTAGCTTGAAGAAGGCACCTACAGTACATTTCAGTTGAGAATAAAGCGAGTAAGTGATATTGGGAGTGATGGACCTCGCTTTCCTTTGGTCAAAATACTAGGAAAGTTTACACTGGCGATATCGTAATTGATGAACAATGGGAGAGGTTGGTTGAACAATCTAAAAAAAATGTACGTTGAGTTAATTGGCCATTTAGGTTTTATACACGACTGACAGGAATAATTTTCCTAGAGAAACGATTCATGGGCGTCGTTGCCCCACCTACTAGAGTCTGGCCGCAAAATGGACTCGCTAGAAGGTGGCGTTAACGCGATACGTCGCACAGTTTCTCTATAGGAAAATCTTGCCACACCTTCATATGTATATATAATGATCCCTTGACTAAAATTTTATCAAGTACATTTTCATGTCATAGGCATAAATTTTGATACGTTAGTGTCAATTTGCCTTATTTATTAATTTTTGGGTAGTTCAATACCAACAGGAATACTTAATTTTCTCTTTTAATCGTCGAACTTCAACAAGATACTTATACATAATTTGATATTGTTGACAGTATCGTTGAAGACGTGGTCGGTGTTGTATTAATAAATGATTTCAACATCGTAGAGGCCTTTGAAATATTCTATTCGATTCTATATTGTTTAAATCAAATTCCATATCATGCGGAGGTCTTCAAGGGTTTATGCATTGAGGTTATCAACATCTTTTTCCATAAAGATTAATTCAAAGAAATGTGTAGAGTTGCTTGATCAAGGGAAAAGTGAGATCATCTGATTAATAAAGGAGTGCTGTGTGGTTTTCCCAAACGATCCCTGATTTTCAATTGGTTCACGACAGTGTAACGTGTATAATAAAATTTATAATTAATCTATTAAACATTGCTACAGAAAGGTGATGCAAGAATGACTGAGTTTTCCAGTTATTCAGCAGGTATTATTTGGTCTGTTTGGTATGTAAAATTACATTGACATTTTGATTTATCGACCAGTCAGGCAATTATTATTTGGTCAACCAAAATGAAAATGGAAGAATACCATAAAAATGTAAACAGTTTTTACAAACTCAAGAAATGTGCTATGTAAAGATTGACCTTGAAAATATCTGTGGATATCATCTACTAATTTATCAAAACAAGATGTCCCATTCATTTTCGAGTCTATTTATGGACTGAAATCAAGCTGGAACCGGGAATATTTTAGTCATATGCCCTGCTACGATTTAGTAAACAGAATGATGAGCAAAAGAGGTAGTTAAGTAATTAATAGGACACCCTGTACTTTAAATACTTTACTACTTCATACATACTATTTCTTGCACTCGATTATTCATTCATTTCATACACCGTAAAAATATCCGATATTTTAATTTACACCTGTGAGCTAAAAATTCTCAATAGCCTGTAAAATTGTACCTGTATTCAAGAATACAATCTAGTGGACTATGTCCCGAAAAAAGCAAAACATTTCAAACTCTCACAGAAAGAACAGTGTTAAATTAAACTATAAAAATTTGCCCCCTCGTACAAGGCCGGCAACATTGTTAAAATGTAAACCATTGTGGTTATTTTGCATAAAAAATCCAAGACTCGCAAAATGGTCAAACCAATGGAAACATAAAATCCTTTATCGTTCCCCAAGTTTGCGACCATTTTCAAGTTTGGCATCACAGTGAATGAAGTATTTATTCAACTCTTCCGAAAAAAATCGAAATGAGTGGCAAACTTATTTATTTATTTATTTATTGAACAAATAACTTCCAGACAGAATAGGCTCTGGTATAAGGAAGTACATAATTATATACCTATAGGTAAACATATCATTATACAAAATATATCAACAACTGTAAATTAACAAACAAAGAATAATATTTGTAAAAAAAAAAAAAAAAAAAAAAAAAAAAAAAAAAAAAAAAAATAAAAAAAAATGGCATGTTCAATTTTATCCCGTTCGCTCAGAAATAATCAATTTTTTCACTTCATTTTTGAATGAACCTATGTTTCTGCAATTTTTTATATTGTCAGGTAGTTTATTGAATTCAGTTAAGGCTGAATGAGTGAATCTTTTTTGTCCGATAATGGAGCTAGCGGCGTCAAGATGAAACAAGTTATATTGTCTTGTTTCATGATTGTGAATTTCAGAATTCCGTATCAACATAAAATTCGACTTCAATTTTTTATTTATGATATTATATGATATTTTGAGAGTTTCAATTCTATATATTTCATCTAAAGAATACGTATCTGTTATTTCAAACAATTGATTGGTTGGTGTATCAAATGGGAGACGATACAATACTTTTAACGATTTTCTATATAATGTTGATATTTTATTGAAATTGTTCTTTGAACAAGTTCCCCAAACATTTATTAAATAGTTGATACGACTCAGTATATGAGAGTAGAGAATCATGTTTGCAATTTTAATATCAAGTTTGAAGGAATGTTTCTATCTATTCTCTCTGAATATTTTCTTCATATATCGGTAATTGCACTAAAGAACGAAGATTGCCCTGGGAAGAGATCCCGTCCCCATAAAAACACATTAAACCATGTCGCTGGACGCCAGTGAACAATACAAATAAATGTCAGATGAACTTCAGAAAGTGAACAAAAAAATACCAATTTCAATAAACGTTCTTTGATTCGTGAAATATTCCAATGAATTACATCCATGCATAAAAATGACCAGATAATTTTCCATCCAAGCGTGATATACAAATTGCATTCGCTTATTTTCATATTTTGTAAAAAAAGAGCCCTCCTCTTTCGAACTCCGGCTCGTCCACCAAAATATGAAAATAAGCTATTAAAATTTTTAGATAACACGCTTTCTTGCAAAATTATCGGTAATTTTTATGCAATTATAACCAAAAACATACAAGAATAGTATATTGTTTAACGAGCACGCTGCAATCATTGGAGTGGGAAATTAGCATTCCGTGCGAGCTATACACTATAATTTTTCCACGGTTGTAACAGATAACAGCGATAACACTTATTTCAAGTTATCGAAAAATGGTGAATACAAAAGTGTAATATTTTTTCTGCATCATCAGAATATAAAACTTTCATATCCATTATTTTTCGATTACTTTCGAAATAACCCCAGTCGGTGGGGTGCAAAAAATACGGGAAAACCCTGTACTTTTAGAAGGAGAAAAAATACAAATTCAACTATTTTCCGTCTTCGAACATTTTTGCAAGATACTCCTGTTTAAATTACCCTGACATTCAATTAGATAAATGTTCCGGCCCTGTCGCGAGGTAGCAAATTGGAATAATCATTACACATTCAATTTTGAGTAGTTCCATGAATTTGCGTTTTTTCCAGACTCAAAATTAAGCAATCAATTACTGCGACCTCGAATTAACTACTTTCCCGATATCATAGGAGGAAGCAAATTCAGATCCATGTTTGAATATCAGTATCAGTTTAATTTGTGAAAGTTTTGGATTCTTATGAAAAAAAAAATCTTTCTGACATTTGACTTAGTTCTCGAATTGGTGGGAGCAATTTTATGTTTTCCAGGAAACTACACCCTATGTTTGCGACCAACTCGAAAAACTCGCATTATTTCCATTATCAATTCAAGTTGTGAATAAAAAGTTTCTCATTGTAAATTAAAATAAAAAATATGTTGCCGTCATCGGCGGGAGATGGCAAATTTTCAGAGAAATTCGTGAAATAGAAACATTTCCTCAAGTTGCCTTCAAGATTTTGCTCCAAGGAGTTATCAACTAACAAAAGTATGAATAAATAATTTATTCACTGGGATGCCAAACTTAGAAAGGAAATGGTCGCAAAATTAGGGAACGATAGAGGATTATATTTCCTTTGTGACCATTTTGTGACCTTTTTGCATTTTTCCCTGCAAAATACCCACAATTGTTTATAATTTACATTTTTAACAATGTAGTCGGCCTTGTTCGAGAAGTAAAATTTTTATAGTTTTGTATTTTCTCTATTTTTGTTGAAATGATTGACCTACTGCCCATGATTCCGCAGCAGATTAATTCGTTCTTCAATTTGTATTTCATGTTTAGTTTTATTGGCAAATATATATTAGCACAATTTTATTCAAGTAGGTATATCTCATCATTATGTGGCCCGAGCGAAACGCACACATTCTCGTCACAATCAACCCGAAACTCGCCGACACTCTCGCCAAACAATACACAACAACTTAAAATCTACTAATTGTTACTCACCTCTCAGTGTGGCTTGCTACCTACTGCCTTTAACGATTCTATACAACACAATCATTAGAAAGCACACTTAAAAACCAATATACAAGGTCGATCAATACTCACTGTACGGTGCAGGACGCTGCTGCTGGTAGTTGTTCCTGACGGCGCCGCCGCCGTAGCTTTGCTGGTAGTTGTTGCCGAAGGCGTCGGGGGTGGTGGGGCCTTGGCTCCAAGGACCACCGCTACTATAACCTGAAAAAAATCCGATTTTCAGACATTTTGGGCGTAACCTCTGATCTGAGCGCATTGTCAACATATCTAACCTAAGTGTTGCACAGCGACCCGACTTATTTCCGGAATGTAGTTAAATAATTGCCCTGGCGCCACCACCATGTCTCGATAAAATAAAAGGTTAGTCCATCCATAACGAATTATCAGGGGTTTGCTCAGCTTGATAGTTAATTTCAATGATGCGATACATGAAACATACTTAGAATTTTAACCCGAATTCAAAAATTCCATTCAAAGAAATTGAGTTGATCATCGTGACTTATTTTTGAGCCACCCTGTATAAATGAATCTACTACCATAAAAACCGCAGGAAAAAATAAAAATCGATCTGTCCGAGCGTTTTCCCAAGAAACACAAAGGCCCGACTTTATGTTGAACATAATTTCCAAATCGCTCAAAACTGGTATTATTCCTGACAAAATGAAAATTGCTAAAGTATTACCAATTCACAAAAATGGGAAGAAAGATGATTTAAATAATTATAGACCAATTTCTGTTCTCCCGATCTTTTCCAAAATTTTAGAAAAAATTATGAATAACCGTCTAATAAATTATCTTGAAAATAATGGCCTATTGTTTAGTGAACAATATGGATTTCGTAGGTCAAAAGACACAGAGGTAGCTGTGATGGATGTCATTTCAGATATTCAGTTACGAATAGATGACAATGACAAATGCGGCATTCTGTCTCTGGATCTCTGTAAGGCCTTTGACACTGTAAATCATAATATTTTATTGACTAAATTATCATCAATAGGTGTCAGAGGCAAAATTCATGATTGGTTCCAAAATTATTTGAAGAATAGGAAACAGTATGTTGATGTGAATAATACTTGTAGTTCCTTGATGAATATTACATGTGGTGTACCGCAAGGATCAGTTCTGGGGCCAATTTTATTTTAAATCTATATCAACTCAATATCTACTTTAAAATTGAAAGGAAAACTAAAATTATTTGCAGATGATACAACAATAATTTATACTTCAAAAGATTTCAACGATATCAATAATGATATTAAAAATGATTTGAAACAAATATCATCTTGGCTAGTGACCAATAAGTTGACTCTTAATTATAGTAAATCTACGTATATGTACATCTCAAAAAGAAAAACGGATATATTGAATAATACCCCAATATGTTTCAATAACAAATCCATTGAATATAAAAATGTAACAAAATTTTTAGGTCTATATATAGATGAACAACTATCGTGGACTCTACATATAGATCAATTGAGAAAAAAATTGAATCCTATTGCTGGTATTATATATAAAATTCGAAATTTCATTCCTGTTAAATACCTAAAGAATATTTATTTCTGTCTTTTTTATTCAAATATACAATATCTAATATCTATTTGGGGAAGTACAAATATTTCACGTTTGAAGCCACTCATGAAATTACAAAATAAAACAATAAAGTGCATTTTCAATTTACCTTTTTTAGAATCAACTGCGAATCTTACAAACCTAAAGACTTGCTGAATCTAGTTTCATTATATAAACTCGAAATTTGTTGTTTTATTCATTTTGTCAGGAAGGAATTGAAAATATCGAATTTGAATTTTAATGAAGTTAATACGATTCACGCCCATGAAACAAGGCAATTCAATTTATTGATAGCAAATAATTATAAGTCAAATTTTGGTAAACAATCAATATTCCATAATGGAATAATTTTGTATAACTCCTTACCTAATGAGTTGAAAAATATAGAAGAAGCAGAAAAATTTAAAATGAAATTAAAGAAATATCTGCTCAGTAAACTTTAATAGTACTAATCATTCACAATTTGATTACTTGTAATGGATTATGATATTTTCATTTTATATTTTATTATAATTCTTTTTTTTTTTTTTTAGGAAAAACAATATTTGTGCAATTATTATTGTTTCGATTTATTATGTTTTATAATATGTATGTTTTGTTGTATATATCCCTATTATAAACAATAATGTTTCTTGGGGTAATAAAGACAATCAAATGAATTTATTCCATAATATTGCCGCTCACTGTATGTAAAATTGGAATAGAAACACATTTTCCTAGTAAACTTTTTTGAAATTCGAGCAAAGAAGCCTATTTCCAGCGATTAATTTGGAAAAATGTAACTTTTGACATATACCAGAAGTCACGTGACCTGGACCGAGTAGTCCATTTCTGAAATTTTCCAAAGCAAAGCTTAACGCCCAAGTCGAGTTTCGAAATAAATTATTATTAAAAGTGTTTCCTATATGATGCCAACTTTATGAATGACACTGTATATGAGCATAGTTTGGATATTTTGTCCATTTTGACGAGTTCCACATTCTTCACCCACGCGATTGGTCACAAATCCCGACTGCGAACTGATTTAGCTGCACATGAATCTTTGCTCCTACTCCATATATCAATGATTTGTTGGAAGCAACTTCATGTCCAGTACACAGCTTCGCGGATGATATTACCCTCCATACCGCCTTCTCTTCCAGGTCTCCAATACCAGCCAGGCAAATCAGAAACGAACGAGGGAGAAATGTTGACAACATAAATATGGACTTGGCAACAATTCTCGAATGGGGATCCAATAACTTGGTACATTTCAATGCAAGCAAAACACAAGCATGCCTTTTCTCTAGAAAAGCCGATCTCACTGTGCCAAACATAAGCTTGTCAGGAATAACCAAACCTCTGAAGACATCCATTTCGATGCTTGGTATAACTATCAGCATCAACCTTTCTTGGGAAAATCACGTGAGATCAATTGCTAAAAGTGCATCCCAAAAACTTGGTTTCGGGCCAGGAGCTATTTCACTTCCAGTCAGCTGCTTATGATCTATAAGGCACAGATCCGACCTGTCCTGGGATACTGTTCCCATATTTGGAGTGCAACATCAGAACACAGCCTGAAACTGTTGGAATCTGTCCAAAAAAGGGCAATTCGTCTCGTGGGTGATGCCTCGCTCACAAACTCACTCACTTCTCTGGAACACCGTGGAAAAGTTGGCGATCTGGCTCTATTTTATAGATATTTTCATGGACGATGCTCTTCTGAAATATCAACATGTGTTCCTCTCTTGGCAGTCCCTGCGAGATTAACCGTCGAGTTGTGGCTTCGCACCCCTTCACTTTGGAGACCTGCAGAACATCTCTTTCCAAAGACACATTCATCCAACGAACAGCGAGGCTCTGGAACACATTGCCAAGGGAGGTGTTCCCCGAGGCATATAACCTCCAGAAATTCAAGAAGAACACCAATTCCTACCTCATTTCCCTTGGTTCTCACGATGTTTCCTGAACATATTGCGGGATATCTCTTTTCATGGGAACCAGAACATAAAAAGAAAAACCGACTCACCTCCCTGCTGTCCCCAGGACCCGCCCGCCTGGCCGTCCCACGGCTGCTGCTGTTGCTGCTGCTGCCACGGCCCACCCCCGTACCCGCCGGACGACGCCTGCGGCTGGCTCCAGTCGCTCTGTCCGCCTCCGCCGCCCCCACGGCTGCTCCATCCGCCGCCTCCGCCTCCACCGCCGCCGCCTTGGCTGTAGCCGCCGCCGCCCCGGCCGCCCTGCGAGGGTCCACCGCGACCACCGCCTCGACCGCCCTGCCCGCCGCCGCCGCGTTCCATTTCCGCTTTGCTTAGAGCTTTTTTGACGTCGACGTGCTTGCCCTTGATGTTGTGGCTGCGTTGCACTGTAAACGTTGGGAAAATATTAATAATAATGAAAAGGATTACTCTCCAATGAATTATGAAGATGAAAAAATGTATATTCATATATGGAGAAATACATCTATGTGATGAAAATATCAATTCATCCTCGGTTTATTCAAAATCCAAATTTATAGGAGTATACTTGTATAAAATCTGATCTTGATGAGCTTGAAACTTCCAAAAAAATCATTCGTATCAGTGATATGGGAATTATATCTCTCACAAACAGGTTATATGACTTTATTTGAATGAACTCATTTTGGATATCAAACCCTCCTTAGTAACCTGAAGTCCAGTTATTCTTTCAGCCATTTTTCATTGTTTTCTATTGAATAAACCGAGAAAGAATTAATATTTTCATCACAAAGATAGAGAATGCGAATTCTAAATGTATTTTTTTCTTTCTTCAATACTTTCACCCAGTCAAGGGGTTCAAACTCGTAAACGATGGAAACTTGATATTTTTAGACCTCAATCGCAGATTCGTGATTTGGTTTTCTCAATTTAGAATTTCTTTCCACGTCCTGTATGATGAATGCCAATTTGTCATACATCCAAAAATAAAAAATAAAAATAATAATGGTACAACAATGCCGTTGCCACTCCTTCTGCCATAAATGCAGTGATACACTTGTATTTCAATGAACACAAATAACAATCTTTCTTGACACCAGATAGTAGCAAGTGCATACAATTCGAGAGGTTTATGGTTTTTTAACCCTTAACTACTGAAGTGGAGTCTCTCAGACTCCGCGACACTTTCAACTCTTGACCCAATCCCCATTTTTAAATTCCTCACTCCACCGCTTGCATCCATACCATCATCAATTTTATTATTTGTCACATTTTTGTTACATATTCAAGATTATTTTATTTATGGACAACACTATTATTCATCATTTTTTGGTAAATAAGTTTGATTATTGAATTGGATCCAGGCAGGACTTTGTAAAAATAGAATAATGAAGTTTCAACCTTCTCCTGAAATAAAAAATGGCCCAAGGAAGTGTCTTGGAAACGAAGAAATCACACTCGATATAATAAATAAAAACACTAACATATTAATGTAATAATAAGCATTTTCCTAATAAAAAAATATCAATATAGACAAAAGAAATCGTTTAATAAATACTTTGAAAGCGTACATGACTCACCTTGGATAAAAACTGGTTTCCAATAATAGAGATACATATCACAAATGTAGAAATACAACAATATCAAAATAACATACCTTTATTCAAATAATTAGACAATATAGTTTAATGGTAGCTGAAATCACAGAACTATTCAAACACCACAATATTTATTATAGCATGAGATATTATGGGTAGTGAAATATAAAAGAACAACAATAAATATAAAGACCTTATAACAATGTTATGTTATTACCATTACGACGAGAGTAGAGTAGCCCCAGACCAGATAACTTTGTAACCCATATCATCCAGTTTTGATTGATTGATTGTCTTTATTACTCCAAGAAACATTATTGTTTATAATAGGGATATATACAACAAAACATACATATAATAAATCGAAACAATAATAATTGCACAATTATTGTTTTTCATAAAAAAAAATATTATAATAAAATATAAAATGAAAATATTATAATTCATTACAAGTAATCAAATTGTGAATGATTAGTACTATTATAGGTGTGCACCAAAATAACACTATTTGAGTAATCAAACGTCCATAATATTACTTCTACAGTGAAAGAGGTTTTTAGGTTGGAACTTGGAGCGATGTCCCCTGTAATGTCTGTCACTTGAGAGGTGTATGGTGAAAATCAATAATACACTTTTGTATAGTTCATCTATTTCTAATTGAAACAGCAGAAAAATATTGACTATACCGGGGACGTTTCTTTGTATATCATCACGAATGTAAAATAAATGTAGTTTTCGTGTTGCAACTTTTAAAAATGCACTGGTATATTCGCAAAAAACTGCGACCGGGCGACTGGAGTCGTCCAAACTCTTAGTCAAATCGGCATGTATCGCGACTAAAGGTGACTAAAGAATAATAGCTTGGCTGACTGGAGCGTATTTCTTCCTGGAGAATACTCACTGCATCTCACTCTCAACTGCTTCAGTCAGTAGCGTGCTGCCGTGTCATTCAATATTCATTCGATCGGCGATAATTATATTCCGTATAACTTGCTGTTAACCAAACTAACAATGGCATTTTGGAGACCTTTCGAAACTGGAAACGCTTCAAATAATGGTGATATTCAAGGTGCAGAATTAGTGTTAGTTGACAGGGATAATGGTATCGAAAACAATATTCAAGGTGGAGAATTAGTGTTAGTTGACATGGATAATCGAGGGGATAATGGTATCGAAAACAATATTCAAGGTGGAGAATTAGTGTTAGTTAACAGGGATAATGGTATCGAAAACAAGGATTTACATATTCAAAGTCAGCGTATTATTTTGAATATCTACGAATGTTTGATGAGTGAAAATTGTTATTCATCGCAGAACGAAATTGTATTAAGGATTTGCGAATTAACCAAACTAGCTCGTTCAACAGTTTTCCGTGTTATCAAAACAGGGGATGTCATAGACCACTCCATAAAACGTAAACAAAGGAATAGCAAGTTATCAGGCGAATAATCTACAGTTTCTATGAAGACAACAAAGTACCCACCTTGGAAATGATTAAAGAAAAATTACTTGATTATCCGGATTATAATTATAAGTGTTTGGAAACTCTACGGGGTGTTATAATGTCATGTGGTTTCAAGCACAAGAAAATTAATAACCGTATGATTATAATGGAATCGAGAAGAATTGTAGAACATCGGCAAGAATATCTGAGGCAGATAAGAGGCTATCGTGAATCCAATAGACATATAGTGTATCTGGATGAAACATGGTTTGACACGCATGATGTTGTGAAATATGACTGGGTAGATGATACTAAGCAATGCAATTTGAATACACCTTGTTCAAGGGGAAAACGAGTGATAATTTTGCATGCAGGAAGTGTTGATGGTTTCATTCCTAACGCGTTGCTCTTGTCGGCTAAGAATATAAAACAATCATCAGCTGACTACCATGAAGATATGACTGCGAATCTATTTGAAAAGTGGTTCAATGAGCAGCTTCTTCCAAATATTCCACCGAACTCTGTTATTGTTATGGACAACGCATCTTATCATTCTCGTTTATTGACCAAAATTCCTAACAGTAATACGAAAAAGGCGGATATTGTAGATTTCATGGAGAATCATAATATGGATATTCCAGAAAAACTCCCTACAAAAAAGGTATTACTGGAGGAAATAAAAAGAAGAAATTTCAAGTAAGAATATGTGATAGATTCATTGTGCGAGACAAGAGGTCATATTCTTCTACGACTTCCTCCTTATTATTGTATATTCAATCCAATTGAAATGGTTTGGTCTACATTGAAAGGAAGTCTACGGAAACGTAACCAGTCACCAACATTGAGTGCAACAGTGCTAGACAATATATAAGGAGAGTGGTGGATGAATTAAGTACTACTGATATTTGGAAAAACTATATTGCTCACGTCATGAACGAAGAAAAAAAATATTATCTTTCAGCCTCCATCATGAGTCCCATTATTATTCACCCAAACAACGATTCTACGTCCGAAGATAGCGAAAGCGACTAAGATGTTTGATGTTTATTCGCGATATATGTATAGTGCAGGTGAGTGTTTTCCTCATTTTGATATAATTTTTGCAAATCCATGTAATATCGGAAATATCGTATACCGGTTGAGTGAAATTCCAGTAGATGCATGGGGATCTCGGAAACGGTAAGAAATATAGAGGCGATTAAATGGAGGCAAAGTTGCGTATTATGGAGCTCATCACTATGATTTTGAAAAATCTGAGCTATATAGCCCTCTCACTTTCAGATATAAAGGAAAGAACGAAAAATTTCATTGATAAACAACGAAAATAATTAGTTGAAAATTGCGTACGCCTATGGCAAGTCGGCGAGCTCAAAAAGAATGGCACTGCCCATGTTTTTATGCTGGTTCAATTAGTAATAGAAAGACTTTACTCGATGACACCTTCCACTCCGCTCGACCGTCTGATAACAACTCCCTCCTTGTGCTGTTGTTACTTAACGGTCCAACGTCACATTCGGTGATTTATTCAGATTAATCATTCACATGATAAAATATTGGGCATTAGTCATTTATATGAAATACTACATCCCCCATTGCATAACTTGATATTAGGTAGCAGTTGAAGTAGATCAGGAGACTGGCAGACTTACTGTCTCATTATTTTCACTCTCCACTAATAATGAATTTCATTGGTTGAAAACTGAGTAGGAAATGATTCCCAAAGGATTTGTCGACAAATGAGGAATCCCTTTGATAATGACTGCAAATCTTGGGGTTGGTAGGATTTGATAAACTTGATAGTGATATAAGTGAAAGTGGCTATTCTCGGTTACGCTGCCTGTGTTCATCCAGGTTATACAGGAGGACAATAGGTATGCACTGCAGAAAACAAATCTGTCTTGAATGTTCCTGGAATATCTGTAGAAACCTGTGTCAAACTGAGGGAATGAGAACCACGCACACAAATTTTTTCATCAGTATTTTTTCTTGTTTCTCACGTTTTCACTTTTTTTAACCCTTATTATCATACTTATGCAATTATGAAACTCATTATTTCACTTCAAGGTCAGAAAGTATCTAAAAAGAGATAATTGTTTTTTTTTGGTGTCGTATTTGCGAATAAATTTCATCATCATACATTTACGATTTTTTTTTTTTTTCGTTAAAATTGGTGAGAAGTACTTCCAAAATCATCAATTGTAATAGTGTTGCACTTGAATTGCAATGAGCGCTAACATTTCCACTTTCACCAGTTGGCGCTACTAAAACGTGAGGTCAGTGTCAGTCAAAAATCCAAAATTTTTGCTGGATAGCCCTAAAGCTGTAGCCCGTTTTATCGAAAATATTCGAAAAAAATGATGTAGACGTGAGCCGTCTAACGTTGTTTTACTCTCAATGTGGAACTTTGCGACCAATTCTTACACTGACGGAGAAGAAGATATCATAGCAAAAGGCCAAATGACTCGAATATAAGAAGTATATTTATCAGTTCTACCAACCCTGACCTCACATTTGGGTGGCGCAGTACGGTGGACAATAAATAATGTTAGCCCTCATTATTTCAATTTCCATACCTTGATTAACCCTATTTGATAGTCGGAGCCTGTAAGACTCCACCTCAGTAGTTAATGGAAAATAATTCACTTCAGTGGTCACGGGTTAAGTTTAATTGAAAAGTGAGACGTTCATTCCCGATTATCAGTGAAACTTGATGACTATCAGAAAAATACGATATATTTGAAGTGTTTTATCATCATAATAGTGGCTTTATTCTGATATGACTGTTGATGCAACAATGAGGAGTGAGAGTCCTAGATATTTTTTCAATTCTATGCTATCTGGTGCATAGAAAATGAGATTTTTCGCATATTATCATCAAAATACAAGAGTATCACTACTGTCAACCTATTGAAAAAAAGAAAATGTGATAATTTCAACGAGATCCAAGAACTTAAAAAAAAAAATAGCTATTTTCAATATCCCTGAATAATTGCTGGAAACTCTGTATGCCAATTTAAAATTGAAGTCTTCTATAAACTGTTTCAAATAACACCAATTTTTGCCTCTTCAAAGTATTTTTTTTCCAATTCATCACCATACCAGTGATAATGTGACAAGCGTCAAAATCGTTAGCGTTAGGTTATCGGACATGCATAATAGATCTGACAATTTTTTTTCGATACTCTCATAATAATCCTTTTTTCTATATTTTAGTGAATTCACGGATGACACTGGATATAAATGTCCGGAAAATCGAATCATTCATACAGTGTTGATGACTTTCTAGATTCCAATTTATTTTGATATTTTACTATACAATTTCAAGATGTCTGCCTCATTTTATTCATTTCATTTGCATTATCAGCAATATAATTATTTATTTATCTGAAGGACTTGCCACTAAACTTCAGGGAAAATGAACTTAACATTAAGTAGTTTACTTACCATTCAGGAAACACATACTATACATAAAATAAACTTATGAACAAAATGGATTTGTGGTTTGTCTCAATTATAGAAAACATTCTGTAAAATTCTTGATATCTGCATATTTCATTTTTCTCTTCAGTGAAAATTGACGTGAAAATAGGTTTGATGAATAATCCTGAACATGAAAATAGTGATAAAAATTAATGTTCACAAAGCTGGAGTACTTTCCATATTTTGTATGGAATATTTCAATAAATATTTGTAATATCAGTGAAAAATTACCAAAAATATACCAAACCAGGGTTGCCACGATTCAAATCAAGATTTAAATGAACTGATTATTTCAATTTCACGATTTACATAGATATATAAATAGCCGTAAAAACAAGTTTCCAAAGCAGATAATTCATCTGGTAATTAAAAAACGAAAGGTAGTTTATTTAAAACTGTTTACACTACACTGTTTTACCACTAACCAAACCGATTTTTTAACGCCTCGACACGTGTTTTGCTAACTATGTTAGCATCTTCAGGAGAAGATTAAAACTGTTTTAATCTTCTCCTGAAGATGCTAACATAGTTAGCAAAACACGTGTCGAGGCGTTAAAAAATCGGTTTGGTTAGTGGTAAAACAGTGTAGTGTATTATCGTGCCAAAGGTTCCAGTCTTCGATATAAAACTGTTTACATAATGTATGTAAGTGCAAAAACGAATTTTCTCCTCTCATCAGGAAAGCACGGCTCGCTGCCGAAAATTTTCATTTCAACACAAGTTTTTTGTATGTCGCCGAGGGTATTTCGGAATTGTGAATCTAGACAGCAAATATTTTTAGGCTAATAGAGAAAAATTATGAAAATAAGTACATTAATTCAAAGTTCATTATTTCCATATATAAGAAAAAATCTGTATAAATAAAATAAAACAGTATAAATAAAAAAAACTGTATAAATAGAAAAAAATCAAGATTCAATAAAGGAATTTTATTTCATTTCATCAAAAAAATCATTATTTTTGCAATTTTGAAATAGTATATTGTGCAACAAGTGGGAAAAGTTCATGTTGCACATTATACTTTATCTACAACTGCACTTATTCATCCGAGTAATTCAACTTATGGGTATTCATTTTATAATGTGGAACTATGCCACATTGAATATTGTGACCAAAGAGTAGACACCTTTCCTAGTTCCTCAGAGTATTTCAAAAAAGTACACTTTCCGAAAAAGATTTTATTTCTGTATTTTTTTAGATTACATAAATTTTTTATTTATGCCAATTCATACTCTTTTCTTGAAATTTCCGGAAACAAATCCAACTTTCGCAGCTTCTTCCATTATCTCTGTCTGGCAGTGTATTTATCAAAATCGTCACATCTCGGTATGAATTGATGTAATAATATTTAATGGATTTCTATCAAAAGCACTAATGAGAACTACCCTAATGAATTTAAAAAACTTCTTTTGACAGTTGTGACAACTATTCAAAGCTGAACAGCAGCCAAGTTTTGGTCAATTTTTGGTGATTCTCCATGGTAATGTATGTGGTGTTGGCAAAGTGCCTTGAGAAAAAATATTTCTCACAGTATGAGCAATACATGGTTTTGAAACTAAGTTAGATTAAAAAAATATATAGGTACTCACAAACAATTTTATCAACAGAATCGTAGTCCTCGAACTCGATGAACGCGAACCCCCTCTTCTTCCCCGTCTCCTTGTCCGTCACGATCGTACAGGACAAAATGCTGCCGAACCTCCCGAAATGATCTTTCAGGTCCTCCTCCTCGACGTCCTCCTTCATGCCGCCGACGAACAGCTTCTTGACGGTGGCCCCCGATTCGGGCCGCCCGATCTCCTGTCGCGGCACGGCCCTTTTCGGCTCGACCACTCTGCCGTCGACCCTGTGCGGCCGGGCCGCCTGAGCGTCGTCCACCATGTGAGCCTTGAAATTTATTCATTTTTTATAGGTTCTCATTAGACCAGTACAATAATGGGCGTGTACACCTTAGTAGAACTCTCAACTCAAACCATGTTTATAATGATCCTTTTATACATAAATAATGATTGACGACATCATTTGATCTAAAAAATTAACTGGAATGTTTCACAAAGAGAGGAGACTAAAGTCATTACCACACTAGTGAATTACATCATCCTCCCGAAATCAATGCAATAGTTCGTTTAGACGAATAAAAACGCAAGTGTTTCCTTCCTAAACGCTGAGCTGCGCTTAAGTGGTTCAGGAACGCTGACTACCTGCAGACCGGTTTTGAGCTGTTTGCTTTTGTTTACGCATTGTATATATGATCAAATGTTACTGCTTGACAATATTTTGTAATATGGTTTCCAAGGATATAAAAAAAGAGAAGATACATAAATCAATTAAGAAAGAAAGTCATCTAATCATTCATATTCATATCTTCAACGTATCATACTTATTGCAATCAAATCATTCATACACATTCAATCATACTTCGTTCAATTGAACATATCGAACATAAAAGTGATCCGGCTCGAAGGACCACTTTTATGTTCGATATGTTCAATTGAACGAAGTATGATTGAATGTGTATGAATGATTTGATTGCAATAAGTATGATACGTTGAAGATATGGATATGCATGATTAGATGACTTTCTTTCTTAATTGATTTATGTATCTTCTCTTTTTTTATATCCTTGGAAACCATATTACAAAATATTGTCAAGCAGTAACATTTGATCATATATACAATGCGTTAACAGCTTTCATCAGTACAGGGCTGTCCCAGATAGCTTCTTGACCGCTATCTGGTGTGAACAGTTTATTCTTTTTTGAACAGTATCCCCAAACATTTTTAATACGACTGAGTATATGAGAATATAGAATTATATTCGCAACTTTTTTATCTAGCTTGGGACATCTTCTCAGGGCTCCAATAATAGGAGATATTTTTTCCGTCAAAACATTTAAATGTTTGTCCCACTTAAATTTATCATCAAACCAAATCCCAAGATACATTTTCTCATTAGTTTGTTTCGAAGATTCATTTTTAATTCTGAGATTTAAATTTATATTGTTTATTTTTTTGTTGAAAAATCATATATTCAGTTTTATCAGCATTTATTGTGGATCTGATTATGTGAAATGAAGAAATAAAAAAAGGAAGCCACTGTACCTTGGAGTAGGTGATGAAACCGAAACCCCTGGACCGCTTGGTCGTGGGGTCCTTCATCACGACCACGTCGACGATGTCGCCCCACTGTTCGAAGTGCTTCTTGAGGGAGTCGTCTGTGGTGCGGAAGTCCAGGCCGCCGATGAACAGTTTGCGGAACTGTTCGGGTTCCATCTTGTCCTGGAATAAGTGCATGCATAGTAGTACAGTGCATCCCGTTTTGGTTGAGACCGCCAGGTGCCTGGATTCTTATTTTTTTTATTGATTATTAATCTTTTATTTTCCTTACCACAACATTTTTCATTTTGTATAGGAATAGTCAGCACTTATATCTAAACTTGTGAAGAAGTCCATATAGCTCAAAATGAAGTGGTAGTGTTTGAAGGAAGAATAAATCTCGAAATCATCTCCAGGACATTTAATGGGTGAACAAAATTATGTTGCAAAAAGGGGGGACATGTTTCGGGCTTATAATAAGCCCATCATCAGCCAAGGTTTAGGAATGGGTGAACAAAATTATGTTGCAAAAAGGGGGGACATGTATCGGGCTTATAATAAGCCCATCATCAGCCAAGGTTTATAACATCCTACAAAAGTCTAAACTTGTAACAGGAATATGGTAATAGTTGTTATTACTTACATGAGGATGAAAAATGTTCTTTAAAGTTGTTGAATATTATTAAATTTAAATGGTAAACATATTAAAGTATAAAGTATAAAAACAGGTATTTTTATTCTGAGTGGGGCCTGTACCCTAAGTTACCCTCAGGAGATTTTCATTAGGTGAAAAATCAAAGATTTTAAAATTTTTTTTAGCTTCCGTTAGCGAAAAGCTATCATGTTGCAGTTTTTGTTGGTCAGTTGAGATTTAGTTTCTCTATTTGATCGTGTAATAATATGCATACATTACATTTTTAATTCAGATATCTATTGAAACTCCAGATCACGCCGACAGCCGTTCTTAGTTGTACACCTGGTATTCATTTTTTGGGTATGGTTCTGGAGATACGACACAAACTTATATACAGTGTGACCCATTTAAAATGGAACCACCCCTGTATCTCATGTAATCGTTAGGTAAGGATCCTGAAATTTGCTGGAGCGAGAGATATACCAAAAATGCACTCTATGACCAAGTGGGGTCATCTTGAGTGATATACACTGCTCGCCAACAGCCATGGAACCCACCCAATTTCCGGAAAATGATATTAGGAGTCAAAATAGGTTGAAAATCACTTCGGATTCGGAATCAAGACGCACCCTTCACTAACTATCCATAGTTTTCCTAGGAAATTTTCAGTTCAGAAAAATTAAATTTTGTCCCATTTCTCATGGAAGCACCCCCGTATCTCACGTAATTATTGAGGTAGGATTCTGAAATTTGCAGGAGGAAGGGAAAGTCCAAAGATAAAGTCAATTACGTAAGATACGGGGGTGCTTCCGTGAAAAGTGCGACAAAATTTAATTTTTCAGAACTGAAAATTTTTCAGGAAAAATATGAATAGTTAGTGTATTGGGCGTCCTGATTCCGAATCTGAAGTGATGTTCAACCTATTTTGACTCCTAATATCATTTTCCGGAAATTGGGGTGGTTCCATGGCTGTTGGCGAGCAGTGTATATCACTGAAGATGACCCCACTTGGTCATAGAGTGCATTTTTGGTATATCTCTCACTCCCAGCAAATTTCAGGATCCTTACCTAACGATTACATGAGATACAGGGGTGGTTCCATTTGAAGTGGGTCACACTGTATCTTTTAATGACATACCCTGTATTTAATTATTTCGTTGAATTCGATATTTTTTACCTTCATATTGAAATATGATACTTCATACTCAGAATGTTCAGAAATGCTGAAAAAATACTGAAACATTAAATTATGATGAAGCAAAACCGAGAGCAAAACGCAGATGATAAAATTCGTATGAAAGAAGAAAGAAAGACAAAAAATTCTCACTATTTCTGTTTCTAGTTCCTAGTTGCATAACCAATGATAATTTTTTTGATGTTTTACTGCTCAGATGAGAAAAAAAATGTTATTTATTATACAAGGGAAAAAAGTTGTAGATTTTAGCTCCAGGTTGTGTTGTCTCCCGACGCGTATCGAAGGAAGACAAAGAATCGTGAGCTAAAACATATGTTCACCGTGTACAATACACTATTTTTTTCTGTATCAATATCAGAAGATATTACATTATATTGAAATCAGGAAATTATCATTGTGAAATTTGAAGTTTTTAACCGTAATGACACCTGCGTTGCAAGCATCTTCATCATTCTTTTGAAGTAATCAAATATTTGTCAATCTGATTAGGTGATATGATTTTGAAAAATTGTGAATTTAGTGGTTGTCGAATGGAAGATGAAAGGACTTGCAGTTCCTTCTCGGGGACGGTGGCATTGGTTTATTTTTCGGAACTATAGTACAACAAAAGCCGTCAACTATACAGGGTATGCCACGACGAGCTTATACTATCTTTATATCGAGAATCAGTCGGGAGAAATACATGAAAATATGCGTGCTTATATTTTAGAATATGCTCTCTTCATTCAAAATATTTTCGCCAATGCAGGGCCGCTTCTACTAGAAAGTAGTAGCACCATTGATATTTCAAATGGAACACCCTGTATTTTATCGCATTTTTAGATTCTTGCTGAAGAGCTGATATTATCGATGAATGTTCAAAATCGATATTTTTCAGCTTTACGATTTTTTCGTGTCGAAACTATTCATTGTTGGTCAAAACGGCTCACATGTCCCTATATCAATTTTTGATTCACTATTTACTGATATTCAATCGGAACAGATACCGGGCGGTTCAAGATTCAGAATTCTGATCACCCTGTATCGGTTCCGATTAAATATCAGTAAATACTAAATCAATTATCGATGAATCACACTTGGGGTCTATCGAAAAAGATTAAAGAGATACAGGGTGTTCAAAATCGAGATTTTTCAACTTTAGGATTTTTTGTGTCGAAACTATTCATTATCGGTCAAAACGGCTCACATTTCCCTATCTCAACTTTTGATTTACTATTTACTGATCTTTGATCGGAACAGATACAGGGTGGTTCAAGATTCAGAATTCTGATTACACGTGAGCCCATAATAAATAGTTTCCGACACAAAAATCCTAAAGTTGAAAAATCTAGATTTTGAACACCCAATATCTCTGTAAACATTTCCGATAGTGCCCAAGTGTGATGTATCGATGAAATCAGCTTTTCAGGGAAAATCTAAAAATGCAAGGCGCGCGCCATACCACCAATGGTCGTTCATTTGTTCATTATTAATTTATATTCATGACACAGTTTAAGGAATGGGTATCATTCCTCAAACTGTGTTCATGGCTGGCCATGAAATTACTAAAACCTCCAAAATATGTCCATGGATGAAACTATTTTCCATCAATTTATTCCTCTGAGGGTCTTTAACAATCTGTATATCTCACAATAATTTGTCGAACAAGAATTAACTTCATAGCCCCCTCTTCCAGGATTTCGAAAAAAAAATCATAACTTTTTCAAAAAATACACGTGGATGGGAGTTTTTTTCTATGAATGTGTTCTTCTGATGGTACTTGATGATGTGTATATCTCACAATATTTTGTCGGGCAAGAATCAACCACATAGGCCCCCTTTTTCGGAATTTCGAAAAAAAATCATAACATTTTCAAAATACACGTGGATATGAGTTTTTTTCTATGAATGTGTTCCTCTGATGGTACTTGAAAATGTGTATATCCCACAATATTTTGTCCGACAATAATTAACCCCACAGGCCCCCTTTTTCGGAATTTCGAAAAAAAAATCATAATTTTTTCAAAATACACGTGGATGAGAGTTTTTTACTATAAATGTGTATCACTGATGGTACTTGATGATGTGTATACCTCACAATGATTTGTCGGGCAAGAATTAACCCCACAGCCCCCCCTTTTTTGGAATTTGGAAAAAACATCATAACTTTCTCAAAATAACGTAGATGGGAGTTTTTTTCTATGAATGTGTTCTTCTGATGGTACTTGATAAGGTGTATATCTCACAATATTTTGTCGGGCAAGAATTAACCCCACAGGCACCCCTTTTTTGGAAATTCTAAAAAAATCATACCTCCTTCAAGATACAAGTGGATGGGAGTTTTGTTCTATGAATGTGTTCGTCTGATTGTACTTGATGATGTGTATATCTCACAATAATTTGTCTGGCAAGAATCAACCCCACAGGCCCCCATCCTTAGAATTTCTATAAAAAATCATAACTAACTAACACGTGGATGGGATGGGAGTTTTTTTTCTATGAATGTGTTCCTCTAATGATACTCGATGATGTGTATATCTCACAATAATTTGTAGGGCAAGAATCAACCCCACAGGCCCCTTTTTCGAATATCGAAACAAAAATCATAACTTTCTCAAAATACACGTGGATGGAAGTTTTTTTTTTTTTCTATTAACGTGCTCCTCTTATGGTACTTGTTAATATGTATATCTCACAATATTTTGTCGGGCAAGGATTAACCCCACAGGCCCCCTCTTTCAGAATTTCGAAATTCTGATAAAGGTAAATTCTAGCCCGACAAAATATTGTGAGATACACATTATCATGTACCATCAGAGAAGCACTTTAATGGAAAAAAACTCACATCCACGTGTATTTTGAAAAATATATGTTTATTTATCGGAAACGAACCAGCTTCCGTTTTTAACAAAAAAATATTTTTTCGCAGTTTTCAATTTTTAAATTGACACTTCCCGGTGTCTGATGCTGATAGAAGAATGTGACTCACAGGGTGTTTTTATTGACTGAAATACCATGTCCTATATACACTCACCACCGGAAAAAAAACCGACCACAAAAAATTTCCCAAATTGATCGCCCTGTAACTTTCTTATTCTTATACGATACTGGTAGAATTTCAGCCAAATCGTAAAATCATGTTTCAATGTTAGCCTGAATTTTAGTTTCCAAGAAATCCTGATGGCCGGATCATTATCCAAGGAAAAACAAAAGTTACTCTTTCCCCTTGTCAACGCCCTGTGGCAAAAGTGACTGGTTGAACTCATCATCATTGTTTTGAAATGGAGTGTGATCATTCCTCAACACGAGGTTTTTTTTCTTATTTTGAAGGGAGGATACAAGTGGTTTGAAAAAGTAGGGATTTATTATTTATTTTTATTAACGATAAATCAACTCCTACACGGAAAACGCTATTTGACGACGACGTGAGTCATTTTGACATCGATAAAAAAGGATGCACCTTTTCTATCGCTGATAAACTGCCTGCTCCTTTGATCTAGTAGCTATTTGCGCCTGATGTCACTCCAATTTCTGTCGTACCAACTTTGATTGATGTATGGTTCACGCGTAATTAGCAAAATGAACCGTTTTAGGAAAATTTCGTTGAGAAAATCAATTCCACAAACTAACAGTTACACGGAATCATCAATAAAGGTAATCATTATTGTTGTTTATTTGTATTCATCTTGCCAAAATGCACTCGAACTTTTTTTTAATTGGATAAATTTCCTTACTAACTCAAAACATTTTTCATCAGTTATTTCTCTCAAAAACTGACATTAGACAAAATTGCTGGGCTTACAAACTCGCAATTTTGTCATGTCAGTTTTTCTCCTGAAATTACTGATCGGTAAATGTTTTTCGTTACCAAGAGAAATTTATCCGATAAAAAAAAGCTCGTGTCTTTACTGTTGGTAATTGAAAATGTTTTCCCCGCCCTGTATGATGAACATCAATTCATTGTACAACTGACAAAAAATGCTTCAACTGACTTTGGATAGACTATACGATGTATACAAAATACGATACAGTACGTTGAATCTTATTCAGTTGCATTGGATGATTCACACAAATAGAATTGTTTGAACTAAAATCGCAAAAAAATTCACTATTAGAAACATGAAGAAATTCAATTGAGGTAGTGACAAGTTGTTTGAAAAATATTTGAAGAATATATGTATATTGAAAACCATATAATTTCACTCATCTTTGGATGTTTCGGAAACGAACCAGGTCCCGTTTTCAACAAAAAATATTTTTCACATATTGTTTTTAATTTTCAAATTGACACTTCTCAGTGTCCAAAGCTGATAGAAGAATGTGACTCACAGCTCACAGGATGTTTTTATTGACTGAAATGCCATGTTCTATCTACACTCACCAGTGAAAAACGGCCACAAAAAAATTACCCTGCAACTTTTTTTGATTGGAAGAATTTTGGCAAAATCATAGAATCATGTTTCGGAATGTTAGCCTGAATTTTAGTTTCCAATAAAACCTGATTGCTTGATCATTATCCAGTCCAGGGAAAAAGAAGTTACTCTGTCCCCTCAACTTCTTCATGCCCTATCGCAAAAGTGACTGGTTAAACTTAGAACTTTTTCTAAAACTCTTCTCACAGACCTATCAACAGGTCGCCTTCATAAAGATCTAAAATCGGCTATAATTTGTTGCCTATTATTTCTCAACTCAAAACACTTGTATCTTGAACCTTTGGAAGAAGTCTATGGTAACTCAAATGGAGTGGTGTAGCATAGATGAAAACCCAAAATCATCTCCACAACTTTTATTAGAGTGATCATAGATCAATGGTAATGGTAAATGTATATCATAGTTATGGAAATGAGAAAAGTAGACATACAAATAGTATAATAGGGTGTTATGTTATATAGATTTATAGTTGCCTCTGAAGAATGTAATGTTTCATGTAGGTGATCATGACCACAAATACCCATGTCAGGTTGACATAGATAACATCATACTGAACATTTGTTGAATATTTAAATATCAATAAAAATATAAAAATAAGTATATTTGCCTGATTATTACATAGGGAACAGGGCAAACAGGGAGAGATGCTCCATGATTGTCTCTGTGGTTAAGAGTTGGGTTCATATTTTACAAGGGCACAAAAATATGAATATTAAATATAAATGAGATTCTTTGAACATACCAAATCACTCGCCATTTAGAAAATAGCAATACCATGAGCAATACTGTCCCTATTTAATGGGATTGTAAAGTGGGACTTCAGCGCAAGGGCGATAAAGTACAGCGGGCGGCTAAAGTAGTCCGGCGGGCGGTAAAGTATATGATCGGACGGTAAAGTAGGTGATAGCTATTGCTCGGGCTCTTACGAACACGATGCAGTCCACAAAAGCCTACTTTACGCACTTGGTACATAAATAACTATCAAGTATCACGACTTGGTCATGTTTATGAGCAAGGTACTTCAGCAAAGGCTTCAGTTGACTGACCTCATAAAATGAGAGAAGAAAAACTCATCTCACCCAAAATGAAGATGGTGTGAAAAATAATGTTCGACCGAATACTTGTGTGGACCAGGTGGACCGACGTGGGCCACTGATGATTACCCTTTTCTACTTGATATTAGCGCAGAGAAATGAAAAGAAAAACATTTAAACCTGTAATGACTCCCACATCGCCGATTTTTCGTAAGCATCATCACGAAAGATAAAAGCCAATCAATATCGATAATGACGCGTCACTATTTGGAGAATAAAACATTTTTGCGTTTTATTATTCAAGATCATATATAATAAAATATCAAGCAAAACTATTTATAGTTATACTCACGTTATCTAGATCCCTTTTCATTTTATTTTATATTCGGATTTCTGTCCAAAAGTACACTCACTGAAGGTTCAACGTAGAACTCGTAGAAGAAAGGAAGAAGGAAGCCTGGTGGAAGCTTCACAAAATGGCGGTTGGCGATAGATGATAGATTGGCGCAATCCAGTGTTGCCAGCTGCTGAACATGAATCTCGACTCTCGACTCTCGAGAGCCTAAAGTTTTCGAACCATACACAAACCTCATTGGTCACAGTGAATCACGTGATACATTATGGACGCATGCGCACTAATGCTTGGTACAGATGACATCTTTTCGCATTTCAGCTTATTTATAGTGCTTCGCATTCTGATTGGTCACAATTAGTTCGTTTCAAGGTCAATAAGCGGAAAATGTTCAGACATTTAGAACATTTTATAGAAAAAAAGCTAATATTTGTCTAGTATAACCCTAAAATAGTGAATGTGAACGGTCCGCGCTTCATTATTCATCTATCCGCAGTAAGTTGTAAGCTGTCATCTGTACCCTCCATAACTAGCGGCGGAATTATGCAACATTTGCATAGTCCTAAGGCGTTTTCGGAAACCTACTCGGGTTGACTCGATCCCTAACCTGCACGTTCGTTTACCTAACCCGAGTAACATACCCATGTTCGGAAACTTCGGTGTTACTTACTCGATCACTAACTCGGGTTCATGTTTCGCAACCTTGCTTCAAAGCAGGGTCAGCCAGAGTTACTACCTTAGATCATACACTTACTACCACAGAACTACTCACGATTCATGTATTTCTAAGGTCACTTCAGATATAATTTGATTTCATCAATTGAACAAGAAGTGAATTATGTTGAATAGCATTAGTTTGATGATGAAAATACACCAACATCATGAGCAGAAGCAATATTCATCATTTCTAGAACAATAACAACGTGTATCTTTTAAGAGTTCAGTGGTATGTTTTTAAAGATATGGAGAAATTGATCCGAAAATATTGATATCGCATAGCAAACTGAAAAAATTGCATACGTGAGAAATCAAGAAGTTCTATTCGAAGTAGTATGAAGCTAACTCAATAAAATAGTAACCTGATAAGTTCGTAAACTATAGTATTAGGATAAGTGATCCGACTGATCCATCACGTGACCCGTTCAGTTCGAGTCAACAACCCAGAGTAAGTTTCCGAAAACGCCTCTAGTCTAAGCATAGTCTTATAGTATTAATTTTTGTCATAAAGATTTGGGGTAGAGACTTTAAAACTTGATTTAAGCATACATGTGAGAATTTGTGGTTCTTTTTGTATGAGGAGAATTATCTATCAAACTCAACATCTGAGCTTCCTCATATTATTTTCCGAACATGTAAACAATAAATCATCAACAATTCTATCAAAGGAGCATGCGCCGAATACACATAATATAATAGGTTCCATACATGTATTGTTTTATCAGAACTAATAGTAATAATATCATTTTCTATTTTCACTATTTCCACAGACAATGGCTTCTTACAACGCAAAAAGCTGAATATTTTCAGCTTTCTGCGTCATTTCAATCACAGATTTTGCTTCACCAATCAGAATACGAAACGTAAAGAGCAAAACGTAAAAAGTTTGGTTGTGAACGCCGCTTAAGAGTCATGTGAGAATTTGTGGTTCTTTTTGTATGAGGAGAATTATCTATCAAACTCAACATCTGAGCTTCCTCATATTATTTTCCGAACATGTAAACAATAAATCATCAACAATTCTATCAAAGGAGCATGCGCCGAATACACATAATATAAGCATAACATTTCAAATTAATCAACTTCCAAGGTCGTTTCTTAAGGGCGCCGTACATTATGCTATTTACCAGCGCAAGTTCCATGCAATGCAATTTTGAATCGAACAATGCGCATGCATGCGTCTATGATATTTCACGGCAAGTTTCATGCAAGTTTCGTAATAGAACCAGTCCTATTTTTCCTGCAACTTCAAGGCAAGTTTAGTAAAATTTTTAGAAATATTCATCGTAGCATCTTGATAAAGTACAAATTTCCTCCATAACGTAGCCTGAAACACCAAATAACCTCAAAAAGTACATTGAAGGCTCAAAAACCCTGAAAATAGTGGATATGAACGAGAAAATATGACAGAAATATCTCAATGTACGGCGACTCGCAATTATGCTTAAGACTATAATAGCGGATTCCATCGGTAAAACCAGTGCACACTCAGTGTATACTTTTCTCTGTCTGCCACACATCGAAGAGAAAGATGAACATACACTGAGAGACTGGTGTGGACTAGGGTCCCTTGATGGAAATTGACGTTAAAGTCATCCTAACAGGGTACGGACAGATCCTCGTCTCCTCTCACTCTAAAGTGTTTGTGAAACAGTTATATAGTTCCATCCTTATTCAATTCTAGGGAAAAACACTAGATTTTTGACATTCGTTGTTTTTTAGGTTATATTGAGGTCACTGGCGTATCATACGTAATTTCCATATGGAATTCCCGATTCAACTATACTAAGATATAGATGAACAGTACTCTAGATTTACACTATACATACATACATATACATATGATTTTTCCGTCCCCCTCAAATTAAAAGTAATTTTCGAACAATTGATTGATAAAAGTAACAAAGATGTAGGTATACGTAGTATAACTTATAGTCACGTTATTTTCACTCTTGCATCCTACATATTTTCTATTTGTGGTATAGTAATGATCATATAAACTAATGTCTTTCGCCATATCGAATCCGCCATCTTGAATTTTCCAATTTTGACGAAACGATCATTATGTCCTACCCCGGAAACCCCCAGATACCAATTTTGAATAGGATCGAATCTCCATTACAAAACTCGTCCACCATAATGGATCCGCGAGCATGAAAATCCCAATTTTGACGAATTAATTATAATTTCCGACCCCAGGGAAATTCACATATACCAATTTTGATTTTTGAATAGAATCGGATCATAATTACAAAATTCGTTCGCCATATTGGACCAGCTATCTTGAATTTCTCAATTTTGACAAAGAATCATAAAGTTCGACCCCGAAAACCCCCAGATACCAATCTTAAATAGAATCAGATCATAATTAGAAATTTCTTTCGCTATACGGGCTGATTCACGGTGGCAGCGCTGAGAATATTTCAGGTCGATAGAACACAACTAATTATTCAAGGCACCAACTTTTCAGAATAATCCTGAGTTGCGTTTTCCAGAAACGTCTAATGTGCCATCCACCGTGAATCAGTCTGTATATTGGATTGGTCATCTCGAATTTTCCAAGTTTGACGGAACAATCATTATCACCAACCCCGGAAAACGCCAGATATCTTCCAATTTTGAATAGAATCGGATCATAATTACAAAACTCGTTCGCCATATGATCTTCAACAAGTAAACATCCTGTACATACCTATTATTGAAATTTTGAATGATTTTTTGTAGCGCCCATGGATGTGACGTGACAGCAATGTCAGTGATGCCAGTAGACAAAACTAAAGTCTCTAGATCATTAAAAAAGAATGCAGCTATGATCTGTCGGTACCCTGTTAAGATGACTTTAACGTCAATTTCCATCAAGGGACCCTAGTGTGGACTAGGATCCCTTGATGTGAACTTTGGTTTCAACTTCTAGTTATGCTTAGAGTCACTGGATGGTATTAGTTTGATAAGAGTTCGGACACAGCTGAACTTTTGTCCTTTTCTATTTTCTATAATACAATGGTTTAAGTGAATAAAGGAATAAGACATATATTCTGCTCTCTGTCTTTTCAATTTCCCTAGTAGCGCCTGATTGTCAGATACGATTTGAGAGGTTATATTTTCTGTCAAATCAATCATAGTCGTAGATGGACAATGGGTATAGGGTACAAACACCCACTTCTATTTATACACTATACACTAGCAAATGAAAAGAATGCATGTAACAACATTTTAATATAAGAAAATATAGACATATGGATAAACTTATAGCTATAATTCCTTATTGTATGTGAAACTGTGCTCCAGTGGTGAATATAAAACATGAAGTTATTCATATTGAATTAAAGGTAGGTATTCTCAATGTACAGGAAGTAACATAAGTACTTTCAAGTGAAGTATTCCTGAGAAAATTATAAGAAATAAAGTCTATAACAGCTTTTGTGTCCGGAAACTTAGAAATGCAAGTTTGGAGAACCACTTCAATGAAAATGCGTGGAATAGTAATTCAGTGAATATTATACGTAAGGGAACATTTAACTATAAAAAATCATCATCAAATAATGAATGTCAGTTTGACAAAAGTTCTGATACAAATCGTAAAATTAAGTTATGAACATAGGTGTGGAAAATCTCATGCAATCAACAAATGCCCTGCATTTGGAAGAGAATGTAGTTATTGTCACTTTAAAAATCATTTTGAAAGTCAATGTTTCAAAAAGAAAAACAGAATTCATGAAATAGCAGCAGACGAGGTGGTGGATTCTATAAAAACTAATGATGATTTTTTATTTGTTGGATCAGTTTTGGAGGTAAATGGAGTAGAAAACAATAAAGAATGGTTCACTGATTTAGAAATAAATAATAGAAATCTCAAATTAAAAATTGATACAGGGGCTATGGCAAATATATTGCCTTTGAAATCATTCAGAAGATTAGACATTTCATTGAAAAAAATTTGTAATACTGATATAAAACTGAAATCATATACTGGCAATGAACTCAATATCGTAGGTAAATGTACCTTGCCTTGCTTTAAAAATGATATGATCCTGGATTTAGATTTTTTTATTGTTGAGACTGACACTCCAGCAATCTTAGGTTTATCTGCCTGCATCGATTTCAAATTAATTAAAAGAATTGATTCAATTGGTGATGAGAATATTGAATATAAAAAATTGATTGATGAGTATGCTCAGCTATTCAAAGGAATAGGTTGTTTAAATAAAGCTTATGAAATCAAATTAGAA